CCTCAGCTCAGCACCTCCCAGCCAGGAATTCCTTCCCAATCTCCCATCTAACCTGCCCTCTGGCAGTTTAAAGCCACCACCCCCTTGTCCTGTCCCTCCAGGCCCCTGTAGCAGTGCAGACCTCCTCCTAAAACACGGTTCCTATTCCCATTTCCCCTCCAGCCACCAGGAACAGCCATTCCTGGAAACACCATTAAGCTGTGAGACTAACTGAAGCAAGCAGAAGGAATTATTTTAGGAAACACTTGGCTTGCAAGAAAACATTTCCATTACATCTGCAGGAAAAGAGCTTTGTGGAGATAAGTCTTATTTCCTACAGGCTGACCAGTGTCTGCAGTAGAAGAAGAGGTAAGGAAGCAAAACACCAGCATGGGAACCCGGCAGATAAATCCCAGGCACCAAACACAGGAGGAGTTTTGATCCACACACCTCCTTAGCTCTGTTAGCAACCTGAGTGGCTTCAAACCTCAGCGATGGTTGCCCCAAGTTAGGAACAGCCCAGGCAGACAGTGAGCCATACATGGGTCTATCCCCTAAACAGGCTGTAAAAGTTTGACAACAAAGGAGGTGAAGGAACATCCCCTAAAGGCAGAAGCAATACAAAAGAGATGCAAATAAAGAAAGGGTCGGAAGGAAGGAGGAAATCCCCCACTGCTCTCATTTCCTCCTTGTGCACCAGCTCCATTCCAGAGAGGCAGAAAGCACAGGCACCAATGGGGAGGTCAAAAAGACAATTCCATTCAGGTCAGTCCACAAGAGAAAGGGCCAGGACCATGTTTGGGCTCTGTGCCAGGCCTGGTGGCCAGCTGGGACCCCTGAGCCAAGAAAACAGCATCCCTGCCCCAGCACTTCCCTGCCCCACCCTGGGGAGCTACATTTTTACCACTTTCAGCAAAACATGGGGGAAAAAGCAAGTGGTTGCTCTGCTGATGGAGAAATCTGATGGGATCCTCCAGGCTTGCCTTGGCTGGGGTGGTAGCAGAGCCTCTTGCAAGGCACACAAGGTGACACAGCCTGAACAATAACTGGGAGAAGAATCAAAACTCAAGTTGATGCCCATAGAGTCTACTAGTGCTTTACCTTTCTCTCTGCATCTACTTGGAGTGTTGCTCTTTGCTAAGGTCAAGAGATGTTAAAAGATCAGTTTATTCTTCCTCATTAAAGCAGGACCAGTGAGTTAAGTGGGCTCAAAGCAACTTGGCTTGGGAGTGGTGAGCCACTGTGCAAGGGGATGGATGGATGGATGGATGGATGGATGGATGGATGAGGAATGGAGGGAGGGAGGGAGGGGTGGATGGAGGCATTCAATAGGTGCTGACCACATGGGGAGGTAGGACACTATCCATCCTGCTCCATGGGCCTGGCTGAGGTCAGGGAATGCTAAGTGCCATGGAAATCACTCTCCTTTGATGGGTAATGATTCTGCAGGCTGGGGAAGGTGCTCAGGGCAGAAACTCGTTTGGAAAGGTCACAGCTTGGAGCAGGAAAAGAGACTCAAACACAAAGCGAAAGGACATGTCCTGTCCATCCTCCCTTCAGCCCACCCAGAGCCAGCACTGCCTTCCCACCCCAACTCTGATTAATTCCCTGCCCAACAGCTTCCTGCTCCCTGTTTTGGTAACGCCTCCCCCTTCCCCTGTCCACCTTGTTGAACCAGCTCAGATATTGGCTGGAATTCTATTAATAGTGAGAAAAGGAAACCCCAAAGAATAACTTAGGAAGTGGTGGGTGACACACCCCACGCCGGCTCAGAGCCTTACGCCAGCGGCTCCTGCTCCTCCCAAGGTGGGATGAGAAAGCCAAGGAGCCTGAGCAGCCCAGGGAAGGGGAAGGGATGTGAGCCAGGCCTGAGGAAGTTCCTATTTTCCTCCCCTTTTTTGCAGCCTTTCCTGATTGAGCAGGGGCAGCAGGTTGAGTTCATCAAAGGCAAAGCAGGGGCTGAGGCTCCAGGGGTGGCCTTTCCTAAGGGAATGTGTGTGCCAAAGTGGGAGAGGAGGCTCCTGGGCTTGTCTTTGCATTGCAAGAAGCTCCTGGGCTAAAGGAGGGTGTTATCCATGCAGCCACGGCTGAGGTGGAGCAGAGACCAGTGCTGCAGAGGACAGGAAATCTGTCACCTCCTTTTGAAACTGTGAGAGCAATCAGATTGGCAGAATATCACAGAGCAGTGGTATTTACCCTGGAATTAAGCTGTGCTGCCAGAGCAAATGGTTAGTTCACAGGGTTTTTAATTTTGCCTCTGCAAAGACTCCTCTCCCTTCCATCTGCTTAGGGATCAATGGGATCCAAACTGCACCATCCTCCCGAGCTGCCTGATGAGGTTTTAGTGAGGGATGTGCTGGGAGGATGCTGTCAGTGCACACACCACCATTCTCACTTGAAAAATCACAGAATCATAGAATTTTAGGGGTTGGAATGGAGCATATAAATCATCCAGCCCCAACCCCTGCCCTGGGCAGGGACACCTCCCACCAGAGCAGGTTGCTCAAGGCTTTATCCAACCTGGCTGTGAACACTGCACTCTCCATGTTGTAAGATGCAGTTCCAAACCAGCATCACCCAACCCCTTTGCTGCCAACCTCACCATCAGTGTTATGAAATGTTTTCACACAGGCCAAAGACCAACTCAGCTTCCAGGAGGAGATGATGGGGAATGGTCCAACAACGTCTGCCAGAGCATTAGACTCTAATCCCTCAGTCCAGTTATCCAGCATGGGGATTTCTATCCTCTCCAAACCCCTGCCAGAATCAAAACTGCTGCAGAACAGTTCTGACAGAATTGCACTGCAGAATATTAGAGACCTAATGCCTGCACCTACTTAGTGCTGCAGGAACATGTGGGAAGGAGCTGCAGCAAATGCAGCGTGGCAACAGGTCAGGGAAGGAGCTTCTGCCTCTCTACTCTGCTCTTGTGGGACCAGCCTGGAGTATTAGGCTGGGCTGGGAGAGCTGGGGGTGCTCACCTGGAGAGAAGCTCCAGGAAGGACTTAGAGCCCCTTCCAGTGCCTTTTTAAGGTCTCTTTCACCCCAAACCATTCTGTGATTCTATGAAACGAGCATGTCTGGACTCTGATTTAAAGCCACTGAGCTTGTTTTCAGCAGGGACCTTCCTTCAGCTTGCTGTGGAAAGACCCTTCACATCAGGAGAGCTGGGGGTGCTCACCTGGAGAGAAGCTCCAGGAAGGACTTAGAGCCCCTTCCAGTGCCTTTTTAAGGTCTCTTTCACCCCAAACCATTCTGTGATTCTATGAAACGAGCATGTCTGGACTCTGATTTAAAGCCACTGAGCTTGTTTTCAGCAGGGACCTTCCTTCAGCTTGCTGTGGAAAGACCCTTCACATCACTGGGACTTAGACCTTGCACACAAATGACAGGGAGATCAAGGCAATAATGCTGACAAGTGTCCTCTTCTCTGCTGTCAAATGAAAGGAACCTACAGCCACAGCCTCTTCCTGAAACACTTTCCCAATGAACCTTTACTGGCTGGACGTGGAGGAGGGAAGAGGGAAGGAAATGGATGTGGTTCAAGTGCCAAGCAGCTCTGCTTCATCACCAGATGGAGAGGAGCAGTCAGGACTTCCTATGCCACTGCCAGACTGGAGATACTCCACGTGTGGAGATTTGAAGCATATCCCAGCAGCATTTTGGCATCATCCTGAGGACTCTCATCAGCCTGCAGGATTTTACAGTCACTCACATCCCTACAGTAGCCAAAAGTTACTCTGCTTTCAGGCCTGGGAAAAGTTTAACTTGTCCCATTTCACCCAGTGGAAGTAACTTTGAAGCCCAGAAAGCTGAACTTGAACCACACCTGATGCAAGCTTTGGCTGCTCCTGGTTGATCTGCCTGACTTTATTCACACAACAGCCTTTAAACCTCCTTGGTTTCAACCAAGAAACCCGTCTACAGCCTGATCCACTGTTCTGCCAGGACTGCAACCCCAAAATCCAGGTTGTGATGAACTGGCACTTTCTGATGAGAAACCTGCTTCATTAACAAATTCCCCATCAGCTCTTTCTGCAAGGGCTGGAGCCAGCTCAGCTCATCTGCTGTTTCATTTGGAACTATGACAAATATTAAAAGTGATCATCCCAAGGCACATCTCCTCACACTCCTCTCCCCCTGCAGCCCTGACATGTCTCCTCCTCACTCCCTTGCTGCCCCTAAACATCATACTTGGGGAGGCAGAAATGGGATTGTTTGCTGCACTAATTAACAGCCACACAGTGGATTTGAAGGAGCAGAAGTATCTCAGTGCTCCTCACTCCCATCTTGAAAACATTGCCATTGGATTCTCTTTCATGCCATGTCTGAACCTCTCCTGAATTTCTCCTCAAAGAGTGTTATCTGCCAGAAATTTGTGACCGGAGGCATCTTTCACCCAAATGGACCCAACTAGTCTGTCCCAGGCAGTTCTCCATCCCATGGAGTTGGAGCCAGAGGTGAGGGGTGACACTTGTGGGAGGAAGCACCAGTGCAGCCTCTCCTGTGGATAAACATAGGACATCCTATTTAGGATTGTGTCTCCATGACTCTTCTCATCTGTAGCTATCTAAGAAGCAAAGGGAACGATGAAAAAATAATCAAAAGGAGACAGGAAGATCAGTCTGGAAAATGAAAGCTCCGAAATCCTCCACATGAAGTTGTCTAGGAGGCAAACAAACACAAACACACGTTCACAACTCTATCTGTGCC